TTTGTTACCATGTAATCCTTCATAATAGTTTTATAATCCTTTGCATTTCTATGGTATCAGTTGTCATGTCTCCTCTTTCATCTCTGATTTTGAGTCTTCTCTTTTTTCTTAGTATCCAGCCAAAGGTTTGTCAATTTTATCTTTTAAAAAAATCTGCTCTTAGTTTCATTGATCTTTTCTATTGTCCTTTTATATTTATTTTTGCTGTGACCTTTGTTATTTCCTTCCTTTAACTAACTTTGGACTTTGTTTATTCTTCTTTTTCTAGTCCTTGAGGTGTTAAAGTTAGGTTGCTTATTTGGGATTTTTTTCTTGTTTCTTTATGTAGGTATTTATCACTATAAACTGCTCTCTTAAAATTGCTTTTTCTGCATTCCATAAGTTTTGGTATGTTATATTTCCATTTTCATTTGTCTCAAGGTATTTTTTGATTTCTCTCTTGATTTCTTCTTTGACCCATTGGTTGTTCAGTAGCATGTTGTTTAGCCACATTTTTGTGAACTTTTCAGTTTTCTTTTTGTAATTGATTTCTAGTTTCATAACATTATGGTCAGAAAAGATGCTTGACATGATTCAATCTTCTTGAATTTACTACTTGTTTTGTGGTCTAACATAATGATCTGTCCTGGAAAATGCTGCATGTGCACTTGAGAAGAATGCGTATTTGTTGCATTTGGATGGAATGCTCTGTATATATCTGTTAAGTCCATGTGGTCTAATGTGTCATTTAAGGCCAATGTTTCCTTATTGACTTTCTGTCTGGATGACCTATCCATTGATGAAAGTGGGGTATTATAGTCCTCTAGTATTATTGTGTTGCTATTTCTCCCTTTAGGTCTGTTAATATTTGCTTTATATATTTAGGTGCTCCTATTTTGGTTGCATAAATATTTACAAATGTTATATCCTCTTATTGGATTGACCCTTTTATCATTACGTAATGCCCTTGTCTCTTATTACAGTCTTTGTTTTAAAGTCTATTTTGTATAAGTATAGCTGACTGAGCTTTCTTTTGGTTTCCATTTGCATGGAATATCTTTTTCTAGGCCTTCACCTCCAGGCTGTGTGTCTCCTTACATCGGAAGTGTCTTGTCAGCAGCATATAGATGGGTCTTGTTTTTTGTATTAATTCAGCTACTCTATGTGTTTTGAGCAGATAATTTAATCCACTTACATTTAATTATTGACAGGTATGTACTTACTGTCATTTTGTTGTTTTCTGGGTTTTTTGTACTTCCTCTGTTTCTTCTTTTCTTGCTCTCTTCCTTTGTGATTTTTTTGTAGCGGTATGCTTAGATTCCTTTCTCTCTTTTGTGTATCTACTATAGGTTTTTGCTTTGTGGTTACATTAGGCAAGCTCAATTTCTTATAAAGCTTTTTACTAATAACTATGTATGTATATATCCTTCATCTTTGGAAAGGAAGCTCACAGGAATAAAATTTTAAAATATTCCTACTGATGAAGTTAAAATTGTCAAAAAAAACCTAATAAATTTTGTTGCATTAGTCCACTGACCATCATGCGTTATTTACTATTTATGTGGTTTGAACAAACACAATCTTGGGATCCAAAGAGCATCCCTAAAGTGAAGAAAAAGGAACAGAACTCTGAACCAGTTAGGTCTCCAACTCACAAAAGTCAGGTGCCTTGGATGTGCAAACTTCCAAAATAGCTGCCTCTCCTGGAGAAGGGAGTCATTTACAGAGCTTACCGTACATCACTGGTGACAAGCAGAGCTCATACTAGGTAGATATGCACAGATACGAGTTAAAATACAAAAACTTCCACACTGGTTGGTGAGTGGCTGCTGCCTGGAGTCTCCTGAGCTCCTCATCCCAACTGCTGCCATCCTTTCCTCAGGGCGTCCCACAGTGACTCTGAGATCGGGGCCTCTTGATCCTCTCTTCTGCACTATGGCCACCATTTGTTTTGATTGGTCAGAGCCTGTGCCTATCAGTTGGAGAAACTTCTGAACCCACTCCAGGTGCTAGGTGCCTGCAAGGCAGGTGCTATTAGTATAAAGAGTTTACATTTATGAAAGGTAAGCCTAGAGAGGTTAGTGACTTCTCTAAGGTCACACAATTATTAAGTAACAAAGCTGGAATGCAAAGCCAGGTCTGACATCAAAACCCATGCTTTTCTCATTTTTCACTACTTAACAGGAAGTTATGAATTTGGTCATTAGCAGACACAGAGAGAGACTCTAGGATGCAATATGAATGACATGAGATAACTTGAAACACCCAAAATGACTAGTATTAAGAACAAATTAGCCATACTCATTCTTTGGATCAGGTAATTTTAGTGTTTGTTTGACATCTGTTGTATTCTAGAAATAAAGCCTCAGTATCTCTCTGATCACGTCAATGGCACTTACTCCAAACTAAGAACAGTGGGATGTTGGTCATGCACATCTGTTTAGCTCAACTATATGGTTATGGGAACAGCATACGTTTCTTCAGAAGAAAATGGATCACATATTTAAAGAAAAATTTCATCTTAATTACATTCAGATTTTTTAAACCAAAGAAAGAGTCATTTCTTGAAGTCAGGATACTCATTTGTGATCTCTGCACTGGAGTACCGCCCATGGCTGATTTCACCAGACTGAGAAGACTTTTAGAAACAAAGTTCAGGGGCCATATATGAACAACTAGTGAAGTTTCTCTCAAGTTTCCAGGACCTCCTTTGGAGAAAGTTAACTTAATACAGTCAGTTTTACAAACTTATTATTAGAGACCAACTGGTACCACTGCAAGGAAAGCAGATAGGATATACCTACCTTCTGTGCTCATGAAAGTGGGCCAAGGATGAGAAAGATGAATTTATCTCTTTAAGTTAGGCAGAACCGGATCTGATCTTTGACTTCAAAATGCAACAGAAAACAAATGTGAAAGCAGGAAAAGGTTTGTGACTCACTCTGCACCTTACCTGGAATGAGTCTGGGACAAAAGCCCCTTTCTCAAATGACTCAACAGCCATCAAGGCACAACTCAGATGGCATTCCTGATCTAACAGTTGAAGAATTCATTAGATTTGGCTTTTTCCCCTTTTTTGGTGAGGAAGATGGGCCCTGAGCTAACATATGTGCCAGTCTTTCTCTATTTTATGTAGGATGCTGCCACAGTGTGTCCTGACAAGTGGGGCTAGGTCTGTGTCTGGGATCCAAACCCGTGAACCCTGGGCCACCAAAGCAGAGCGTGTGAAGTTAACCACCACGCCACTGGGCTGGCCCCTAGATTTGCTCTTTTATGGTGAGAATTATCTGTTTGTATCTATTCAGTTTTGTGTCATCTTTGAAGAATCATGAAGATTTAACAAACTAAAGTTTTATAATAAAGAGGCAAGATGTTAACATGGTAAGAAATCTTGCTCTAGGACTCCAAAAGCTGTGCTTCAGTTCTGGTACCACTCCTTACTAGTTATGTGGCCTAACCGAGATTTTCTTTTCTCCAAGTTTGTTTCCTCCTCTAAAACTGGGATAAAAATGCCTATTCTACCTCAGATGGTTGTCACTAGCAAGGAAAAGCCTGGAAAGTATGGTAGAACTGCCTCTGATAAAATAGCATAAATGGTTAGGGTATGATCCTTTTGGCAATTACAATTTTACACAAAGAGTTGCTATTTTTTGTTTTAAATTGCTACTCTTTCTCCCACTTTCTGGTAATCTAATCATCACTGTTTGAAGCTTGAGTCAAGCATTGTAAAACTATTTCTTGAAAGAATTTAAATTATCACAGGAATCACCGCAGACTGCATTGTATATGTAAAAAGCAAGAGAATACTCTTTGAGTCTTAAGAAAGAATGATGGTAATAGCAGCTTATTATACATGGTATTACAGTGTACTGAGCACGGTTCTAAGTGCTTTATATATGTGAACTCATTTACTCCTCACAACCACTCTGTATGGTAGCTACTATTATCCTTATTTTCAGATGAGGAACCTGAGACACAGGTAGTAAATGGCAGTCGACATTTGAATTCAAAGTATCTGGTTCCAAAATCTGAGTTCTTAACTGGTATATTGCATTGGCTTTCTTATAGCAGTCATATGTGAGAATATAGTCAATGATATTGTAATAACTTCGTATGGTGACAGATGATTACTAGACTTATTGTGATCACCTCACAATGCATGTGTCAAATCACTATATTGTACACCTGAAACTAATATAATATTGTATGTCAACTATACTTTAAAAAACAAAAAGTCATGTGTATGTATGTAGGTAATCTATATCCCTAGTATTTTAAATGAGTGACAATTTCCAGGTGAAAATCACACATTTTGGTCCTAACTAAAAATAACTCTTCTAAGTTCTCCTCTGGCCCTGTGCAAATTTTTGAAGTTGGTTTATACACATTTAGTCAAATCTTTCCCATTCAAAAATTAAAGAATTCCCAGGGGAGAAATCCTCAAAAATCAACAGATAAAGTATATAAATTCTAAAACTGTTGCAGAATTCCTGAAATTCAGGAATGAGAATTCTAATAGTATGACTTATAAACTAGATGCTAAATGCACTCCCCCCCCCCCCCCCGCTTTTTCTCCCCAAATCCCCCCAGTACATAGTTGTATATTTTAGTTGTGGGTCCTTCTAGATGTGGCATGTGGGATGCCACCTCAGCATGGCCTGATGAGCGGTGCCATATTCACACCCAGGATCCAAACCAGCGAAACCCTGGGCCGCTGAAACAGAGCACGTGAACTTAACCCCTCAGCCACAGGGCTGGCCCCTAAACGCACTTTTTGAATTAGATTAAGCCTACAGAACATTAAAGTTTAGTATATTTGGGAGGGAAATTATCACCTAACACGTCAAAATTTAAAGTGGGATTAGAGAAAGATCTGCCAATGTGATTTTAAAGGTATAAATAAGACTGTCTTTTTTCACACACAAATCCAACAGCAATGTAATTAAATTCTACAGTAAACTAACAATCTAAAAGGACAGCAGAGTCTGCACTGCCACTAAAACATAGCTAATAACATCTGATGATAATCAACATTATTGCATTTAATAAGTAACGATGAACAGCAAAACAAACAATATACTCTTAAAATGTTTCACTGAAGCTCTCCACCACTTTGGCTTCATGTAATGAGGTATCTGTAAAAGTATTTGTTCACATTTTATGTCCCTTTAACCGGAAAGAGTTCTGTTTTTTAGGAGAAGGGGATGGCAGCCAGTAAGGAAAAAAATAGACCGAGACTTTATTTTTGAAAAACAACCAAGTATCTACCCAACTCCCCGACTTACAGATTATTAGGATGATTTCTACCCTTACTTCCTCTCAACATGCACACACTATAGCTAATTCACATCGAAGAAACTTTAAAATTATATGCAAAAACTGTACATTTTACCTTGCATCAGTGCTGACTCTCAAAGGGAGAAGACCTTGGCTACTGTCTTAGGGATACAAGACATGCTTTAATTCTGAAGACAAAATTCAAGAGACCAGAAAACAATTTAAGCTTCAAAGGATATTAGAGCCAAAGATCGCCAGAACAACTGAAATTATTTAGTGAAAGACACCGATTTCCCACGTGAAGATAACAGTAAATTATTCAATTTGGCTCAGCTGGCCATCTTGTACTTGCTGGGTAACTGACATAGTACCCTAAACCTATAGCTTTTGTTTGGAAAACTTTAAGATGAAGAGACAGTCTATGAGTTAATTCATCTCCAATACATCTTTGATTCTAAATGATTACCAAACCCAGGTCAGGGAAGCAGTTTTATGGCTTGTTTTCCTCCTTTCCTACATTTTGACAGCAGCAGTCATTTTCATTCATTTGAAATTAATATGGTAAAGCAGTGATCTAGGCTAGGTCTATACTAATTCAACTTCATGTGAGATGTACAGTCCACTTAATCTCTCACCAAAATTTTAAGCAAAACTGGGCATTTTCTTTTAATTCAGGACTTCAAATAATAGTTACTATATGAACATAGCACTTTATGATTTGGAAAGATAAAAACCCAAAACAACAAAACTGAAAAATTTTCGGGCAGCACCTAAAGCACTCAATCAATGCTAACATTTCATTACTGTGTCAATATTTTTTTTATAGGATTTCTATCTTAATCTACAGAGGAGCAGGTATAGCCCTTACGCCATTCCTGATAGTGCTAAGTGTTACTTACCTAGGATTAGCCTTGATAATGGTTATTAGGTTTACTTTAACAGCTTGAAACACTTTATACTTGTCTTGAAGTATACTTAAAGGATTTATTCAGCTGATTCTTAAGTAAAGGAGCCAAATCAGTCAATACCCTAAATCTTGAAAGCTCCCTTCGAATGTAATTTTCATAGTCTTTAAATTTTAACTGTCATTGTTTATTACTGTTTTGGCTACATTCTCTACAATTTCAGCAGCATCTTAAAGAGACAATGTGTCTATATACAACGAAGAAACAAAATGGCTTGCAACATCAGAAATAAGAGCCACAGTTTAACTGTACAATATTAAGGAGAATCTGTTGTAAGTTATAGCCTCCTTTTCGGCAACATGGACAACTTACATGTAAGTATCAGCATTATGAATGTGACAATAAAGAAATAATCTTACAGGAGTGAAATACAGCATCCTGAAAAATAATGGTTTCTACCATACAAGGCAATTAGAAAATGTTCACATTTTAACAAATCTGTACAAACCACAAGAAACTTGTTTATGGGACCATCATCCCATCTTGCTGATAAGAACCTTCTAGAAATGTAGAATAACCATGAACAGTTTATAAATCTAGTATCTATGTGCTCCACAGCCCTAGAACCCAAGAAACTGATTTAGAGAACTCTACAAGTCCAACATGGATCAGTTTTACATGCCTTGATTGTTAATGAATGTCCGCTTTTAATATCACTCTATGATGTACAGTCGACTTGCACCTTTAAGGAGGTCATTCGATTTTTTAGCAAAGAAGCAACATCATTTAGCAGCAATTAAAGCGCCTTCAAGAAGACTTAAAAAAAATACAATATCCAATTAGAAAAGCCCTATTTTTAAACATTTGTACAAGAATAAGCTGCTGAAACTTGGTAATTGAAATACGACATCTGTACAACAATTTACAATAGAGCTAGAAGGGAATTTATCATTATCCTGCATAGAACTGGTCTGCATTTGGTTACATACTGTCACTTGTTTTAATGAACAAGGCCTGGTAATAAAAGAAAAATATCTGTTAATTGTAACATGTTGAAAACACTGGAGATATTACAATTTAGTGAATTCAACTGATTTCAAAACAAGCAGCTCATTTTGTCAAGGGTGTAAAGTATCTGAGCTCTCCCTTTAACATAACCAGTGAAAAAAACGGACATGATTTCGAGGTACAACTTGGTAAAAGCCAGAACAAGCAAATGACAAAGTCTAACTTTGTCCAGAGTCTAACTCTCACATTCTATTACTATAAAACACAACTGTCACTGTCATTCAGTTCTTACTTTGGTTTCAGCAGGTAACTGCCGAATGCTGAAGAATGTATCCAGGCACTATAGTTCTTGTGTGAGAAATATGTCTCATATTTTTTTCATGTGTTTTTAAATAATGAAAAACTACCCTTCATATTAGAACTCTCTAGTAACAACCAAATGTATTTAAGTATTATAAACGTTATTTACAGTGTTCCCCCAAACAAACAAAAAACCATTTTTCTTCTATCTTAACATGGTACTCCTGTTTCTGTGCAACAGGCCGTCATCCTTCACTGCTCCAGGTTATAGTCAGAAGTGTACATTTATTCATTGTCCATGATCCAGTCTCATACAAATGACGCTATGAAGAACTTCATCACAGTTCTCAACCATGTCCTGTGTAAAAAAGAAAACAACAAAAACACTCAAATGCTCTCAAACTCAAGTGTGCATCTGGAAGCAATTCAAAGATATCATGCCAGTTTTGGAGGGAAGTCAGTAAGTAATTATGCTTGAAGAAGGGGGTGTAGGGGATGCTGTCAGCCCAGCCATGTGTAAGTTTCCTGAAGAATTTGATCTTCTCATGTGCGGGAGAAGGTATGGGTCATTTGCCAGTTGGTGCACATCAAATCGATCTTCTTTTCGGTATGCCAAACAGCGTCTTATAAAGGCCTTTAAAAAAAAAAAAAAAAAGTCATCTAAGGCCCCCTTTTAAATATCAATCAACTGAACCCTTTAGAAGGATGGACAAAGTTAAGACAATAAATAGATTTCATTTTATTAGAGGTTCAAGCCTTAAAAAATGTTTTTCTGCAGCAAGAAAATTCTCATTCCAAATTCAACTTTTAACTCATAGCCCCTAGTGGTTCACTTTATAGTCTAACTTTTTTTTTTCCCATCACTGTACAAATGTGCCCTTGTACCCTTTTCGCCCACCCCCTCTGGTAACCCAATCTATTCCCTGTGTCTAAGCATTTGTTTGTTGTTTTTTTAATCTTCTCCATATGAGTGAAATCATACTGTATTTGGCTTTCTCTGTTTAACTTATTTCTCTCAGCATAATACCCTTAAGATCCATCCATGTTGTCACAAATGGCAAGATTTCATCCTTTTATGGCTGAATAGTATTTCATCATATATATACACACCACATCATCTTTTATATTTATTTATTTATTTGAGGTCATACAGGTTTACAACATATAAATTTCAGGTGTACATCATTTTTCAACTTCTGTAGATTGCATTACGTTCACCAGCAAAAGTCTAGTTGGCATCCATCACCATACACATGTGCCCCTTTGCCCTTCCCCCTGCCCCCTTGCCTTCTGGTTCCCACCAATCTGTTCTCCATATTAATGTGTTTATCTTCCACATGAGTGAAGTCATACAATAATTGTCTTTCTCCATCTGACTTACTTTGCTTTGCACAATACCCTCAAGGTCCACCCACGTTGTCACAAATGGCATGATACGTCTTTTTTTATGGCTGAGTAGTAGTCCATTATATACTTCCTTATCCATTCATCCACTGATGGGCACTTAGGTTGTTTACAAGTCTTGGCTATTGTGAATAATGCTGCAGTGAACATGAGGGTGCATGTATCTTTTCAAATTCCTGTTTCCATGTTCTTTGGATACATATCCAGAAGTGGAATAGCTAGATCTTATGGTGTTTTCTATTCTTAATTTTTTGAGAAATCTCCATACTGTTTTCCATAGTGGCTTCACCAGTTTACATTCCCACAGCAGTGTTTGAGGGTTCCTTTTTCTCCACATCCTTACCAACACTTGTTATTTCTTGTCTTTTTAATAACAGCCATTCTGACAGGCATGATATGGTATCTCACTCTGGTTTTGATTTGCATTTCTCTAATAATTAGTGATGTTGAGTATCTCTTCATGTGCCTGTTGGCCATCTGTGTATTTTCTTTGGAAAAATGTCTGTTTACATCCTCTGCCCAGTTTTTAATCGGCTTTTTTTGTTGTTGAGTTGTATGAGTCCTTTACATATTTTGGATATTAACCCCTTATCAGATATATGACTTGCAAATATTTTCTCCCAATTGGTAGGTTGTCTTTTCATTTTGTTGATGGTTTGCTTTGCCATGGAGAAGCTTTTTAGTTTGATGTAGTCCCATTTGTTTATTTTTTCTTTTGTTTCCCTTGCCTGAGGAGACACAGTATTCAATAAGATATTGCTAAGATTGACATCAAAGAGTGTGCTATGTTTTCTTCCAGGAGTTTTATGGATTCAGGTCCCACATTCAAGTCTTTAATCCACTTTGAGTTATTTTTTGTGTATGGTCTAATATAATGGTTAACTTTCATTCTTTTGCATATATAGTCTAAATTATTTTTGCTACCATTTAAACTTACTGCTGGAAAGCTGCATTCTTTCTTTAAGTGCAATAAAATATACATAATATAAAAAGTAGCATTTTAATCCTTTTGGAGTGTACAATTCCGTGACATTAAGTACATTCACAGTGTTGTGCAACATCACCATTATCCATCTTCAGAACTTTTTCATCATTCAAAACTGAAATTCTGTACCCATTAAACAATAACTCCCCAATCCTCCTTCCCCCAAGCATTGGCAACCACTATTCTATGCTCTTTACCATCTGACTATTCTAGATACCTTATAGTGGAAACATACAATATTTATTTGTCCTTGTGTGTTGCTTATTTCATTCAGCATAAGAGTCATCCGTTGTAGCATGCATGAGAATTTTGTTCATTTTTAAGGCTGAATAGTATTCCACTGCATGTATATGCCACATTTTGTTTATCCATTTATCTGTTGATTGACATGTTTTAGTTTTTTCTACCTTTTAGCTATTGTGAATAATGCTGTTATGAATGATCTGTGTGAGTCCCTGCTTTCATGTTTTTTGGGGTATTTACCTAGAAGTGGAATTGCTGGATCATATGGTATTTTTTTTTTTTGCAGTATAATTGACATATAACATTGTATTCGTTTCAGGTGTACAACATGATTCAACATTTGTATATACTGTGAAATTATCATCACAATAAATCTAGTTAATATTACAAATTAGCACAAATTTTTTTCTTGTGATGAGAACTTTTAAGATCTTTTCTCTCAGCAACTTTTAAATATACAATACAGTATTATTAACTATAGTCATCATACTGTACATTATATCCCCAGGACATTCTATAATTGGAAATTTGTATCCTTTGACCCCCTTCATCCAAACCAACCCCACTCCCCCCCACCTCTGGCAACCACCAATGTGTTCTCTATATCCATGAGCTCTTTTTTATTTTTTTAAAGATCTGACATATAAGATCATACGGTATGTCTATTTCTGACTTAATTCACTTAGCATAACGCCCTTAAGCTCCATCCATGCTGTTGCAAATGGCAAGATTTCCTTCTTTTTAATGGCTAATATTCCATTGTATATATATACACCACAGTTTCTTTATCCACTTATCCATTGATGGACAACTTAGGTTGCTTCCATGCCTTGGCAGTTGTAAATAATGCTACAATTAACATGGGGTGCATGTTTCTTTTTGAGTTAGTGTTTTCCTTTTCTTCAGATAAATACCCAGCAGCAGAATTGCCAGATCATATGATATTTCTAGTTTTAATTTTTTGAGGAACCTTATTGTTTTCCAAATTACATTCCTACCAACAGTGCCCAAGTGTTCCCTTTTCTCCACATCCTCTCCAACATTTCTTGTCTTTCTGATGACAGCCATTCTAACAGATATGAGGTGATAATTCATTGTGGTTTTGATTTGCATTTTCCTGATTTACCAGTGATGTTGAGCATCTTTTCATGCACCTGTTAGCCATGTGAATGTCTTCCTCGGAAAAATGTCTATTAAATTTTCTGCCTATTTTTAAATTGGACTTTTTGTTGTTGTTGAGTTGTATGAGTTCTTTATATATTTTGGATATTAAGCCCTCATCAGATATATGGTTTGCAAATATTCTCTCCCATTCAGTAGGATGCCTTTTCATTTTGATGGTTTCCTTTGCTGTGCAAGCAGCTTTTTCATTTGATGCAATCCCACTTATTTTTGCTTTTGTTGCCTTTGCTATTAGTGTCAAATCCAAATAATCCTCTCCAAGACTCACGTCAAGAGCTTAACTGTCTACATTTCTTCTAGAAGGTTTATGGTTTTAGGTATTATGTTCAAGACTTTCATCCATTTTGAGTTAATTTTTGTGTATGGTCTAAGATAGTGGTCCAGTTTCATTCTTTTGCATGTGGCTGTCCAGTTTTCCCAGCACCATTTATTGAAGATACTGCCTTTCTCCATTGTATATTCATGCGCCCTTTGTTGTAAATTAATCACTCATACCTGTGTGGATTTATTTCTGTGCTCTCTATTCTCTTCCATAGATCTATGTGTCTGTTTTTATGCCAATACCATACTGTTTTGATTACTACAGCTATGAAATATAGTTTGAAATCAAGAAGCATAATGCCTCCACCTTTGTGTTTCTTTCTCAAGATTGCTTTGGCTATTCATGGTCTTCTGTGGTTCCACAGAAATTTTAGGATTGTTTGTCCTATTTCTGTGAAAAAAGCCATTGGAATTTTGATAGGATTGCATTGAATCTGTGGATTGCTTTGGGTAGTATGGACTTTTTAACAATATTAATTTTACCAATCCATGAGCATAGAATATCTTTCCATTTGAGTCTTTTTTTTTTTTTTTTTTTTTGCTGAGAAGACTAGCCCTGGGCTAACATCTGTGCCAATCTTCCTCTATTTTATATATTTTATATGTGCCACAGCATGGCTGATCAGTGGTGTAGGTCCACGCCCAGGATCTCAACCGGGGCCACCGAAGCAAACCACGCTGAACTTAACCACTAAGCCATGGTGCTGGCCCCTCCGTTTGTGTCTTTTATCAATGTCTTATAGTTTTCAGTATACAGGTCTTTCATCTCCTTGGTTAAATTTATTTGTAGGTATTTTATTCTTTTTGATGAAACTGTAAATGGGTTATTTTATTTTCTCTCATAAGTTTATTAATGTAGAGAAATACAACAGATTTTTGTATATTGATTTTGTATCCTGCAACTGTACTGAATTCGTTCATTAGTTCTAACAGTTTTTTTGTAGAGTCTTTAGGGTTTTCTACATATAATAGCATGTTATCTGCAAATAGTGACAGTTTTAATTCTTCCTTTCTGATTTGGATTCCTTTTATTTCCTTTTCTTGCCTAATTGCTCTGGCTAGGATTTCCAGTACCATGCTGAATGTGGAAAGCTGAATTTCTTAGAAAATTCTGGAGACTTTTTTTCTTCTAGAATTTTTCTTCTGCTAAAACAATCCTCTCACTCTCCTTCCATTTTATTATCAGCATAGTTTGGCCAGAGGTAATTATGCCATTTTTGGCCATAATATTTTTTTCCTGTTGAGCATAAAGACTTTCTTTAGATGAAAGGAATACTGAAGTGACACTTCTATTGGTGTTTTCATTTCCTAGGTTAACACTGTGTATCAGGACACTTTTGAAAAACCTAAATAATGGAATAATGGAATATAATAATGACTGTTTTTTTTTACTGAGTTCATAAATAGTTTACATCAATGTGAGATTTCAGTTGCACATTATTTCTTGTCTGTTACCACATAGGTTCCCCCCCACCACTCTTCCCCTGGTAACCAGTGAACTGTTTTCTTTGTCCACGTATTTGTTTATATTCCACATATGAGTGAAATCATCTGGTGTTTGTCTTTCTCAGACTGGCTTATTTTGCTTAGCATAATTCTCACCAGGTCCTTCAATGTTATTGCAAATGGGATGAATTTGTCATTTTATGGCTGAGTAGTATTCCATTGTATATATGTACCACATCATCTTTATCCAGTCATCAGTCAATGGGCACTTGGATTGTTTCCGTGTCTTAGCTATTGTGAATAGTGCTGCAATGAACATGGGGGGACATATGTTATTTGGGATTGTTGATTTCAAGTTGTTTGGGTAGATACCCAGTAGTGGGATAGCTGGGTCATATAGTATTTCCATTTTTCCTTTTTTGAGGAGTCTCCATACTGTTTTCCATAGTGGCTGCACCAGTTTGCATTCCCACCAGCAGTGTATGATGGTTCCCTTTTCTCCACACCCTCTCCAACATTTGTTATTTTTAGTCTTAGTGATTATAGCCATTTTAACAGGCTGAAGGTGATTATCTTAGTGTGGTTTTGATTTGCATTTCCCTGATGATTAGTGACATTGAACATCTTTTCATGTGTTTGTTGGCCATCTGTACATCTTGTTTTGAAAAATCTCTGTTCATATCCTCTGCCCATTTTTTGATTGGGTTGTTTGTTTTTTATTGTTCAGTTGTGTGAGTTCCTTATATATTATGGAGATTAGCCCCTTGTCAGATATATGATTTGCAAACATTTTCTCCCAATTGGTGGGTTGTCTCTTTGTTTTGATTCTAGTTTCTTTTGCCTTGCAGAAGCTCTTTAGTCTGACGAACTCCCATTTGTTTTTCTTTTGTTTCCCTTGTCTGAGAAGACATGGTATTCGAAAAGATCCTTTTTAGTTTGACGTCAAAGAGTGTACTACTGATGTTATCTTCCAGGAGTTTTATAGTTTCAGGACATATCTTCAAGTCTTTGATCCATTTTGAGTTTATTTTTGTGTAAGGCGTGAGATAGTGGTCTACCTTCATTCTTTTGCATGTGGCTGTCCAGTTTTCCCAACACCATTTATGGAAGAGACTATCTTTTCTACTGTATCTTCTTGGCACCTTTGTTGAAGATCAGCTGTCCGTAGATCACTATCTTTTTTCCTTCTCAAACTGGCTTTATATATTCTATCCTTGAGAATAGCTTCTTACGTTATACTTCAATAAAGATTTTTTATATTTTTTAAAAAGGTCACAAATCATAAGTGTACAACACAAAGTGAATATATCTATTTAATTCAAGAAAAAGAACTTTACCAGAACCTGCTAAGTCTCTTCATGCCGCCTTCCAGGCACTGGCTCTGCCCCCAGCCTACCTGGGTAACCTCTATCCTGACTTCTAATGCCATAGTTGAGTTTTTATTATTTCTTTACATAAATGGAATGATAGATTATTTTCTCCTTTGCCTGGTTTCTTTCATCTAATATTATATGTGAGAGATTCATACATTTTTTGCAAAAGATAAAACATTCTTAAGGGATAATTGTTTCCCTTTCTTATTGCTCACACTAGAAATAACCTTAGCTTATCTTGAAATTCTTAATTGCCACATAAATTCACGAATTAAAGTATCTGTAGGAAAACTAAGATATATAACTTTAAGTCAAAGTTTAACCATATTAAGAAGTAACTCTTGCATTTTCTTTGCTCTGATATTTATTAAAAGTAATTTTTTTCTCTAAAAACAAACTAGCTCTTCCCATTATCATACCATGGTTAGCTTACTCACATTCATCAGAAGTCTTTCTGATCCCATAGGTTTTATCTTTTTAAGTCTTTAATAAATAAAAAAAGTTTCAGAGACCACTCTGAAAATGATTAAGATGGAGGAAAGAAATTCAAGAGTGACTGATATGTTGAAGACAGAGTGTGAGAGGATGAAAAGTACCAACAGCAAGGTTAAAAAGTCTGTGAGGAGTAATGTACTTAAGATGCCCACACAAGGTCAACGGAGGTACTTGGTGAAGGAGGACAAGAGGTTAGAAAAACCAACAATGTGACCTTCCCCAGATTCCAAAACAGTGATTGTGGCACCTATAAAGAGCCTAGGCTCGAACCAGAGATGCCTAAATGGGACTTCTTTTTGGCACACTACACTAATTCCTGGTCATTTTTGTCAGTATTAAGAAAAAAAAAGGATCTTGCATTGACTAAATTTAGTTTCTGTTCTCACTGATGCTGTAGATAGAAAGGGAAGACAAAATTTAGACGCTAGTTACTATCAAAATCTTTTTAAAGGAGTCATATTTACCTCTTGAAAATAATTGTGCTTTAAAGAAAGGATATGTTATCTTTTTAATTGTCAAAATCTTCTAAAAATCATTCAAACAACTTGCAAAAAACCAATAAAGATGTTACAGAAAATGAAATAGAGGACAGTTCCAATAAATACTGAGATTAACAAAAAGCAGTACATTTTCAATTCAAAGGCCACTATGACCTCGATCAGGGGCAAGATCCAGCAGTGCGTATCTATACTCTGAGAGTATAGAAACTATATAATGCCTGTTTATGAATTATTCTTATGGCCTATTCATACCAGAGAAAACGGGAACTTCATGTGCTTTTTACGAATTTCACAGGGTTTAAAAAAAGAGAAGACTCCAATGGGGGAGTCACAGAAAAATGAGCTTTGTGATGAGTATAAAAAAACAAGAGTAAAAATACAAATGTGAAAGGCCAACAGGATGAAGGGAAGATATTAAATACCATAAAAGTTTTGCTATTTCATGTTATTACACAGACATTTATAAATTAGAACTACAGGAAGCTGTCTGTTATAGATTCACAGACTGCTACACATAGCAGAGCAGACGATGAGGTCAGGCTTTCTCAAGAGCTAGTGCAGCACAGCATAATGGACAAAGGTGTGCATTCTGGAGTCTAGGAGAAGCGGATATGTTGAGCCACAGCTCTGCCATTTTATTAGCTGGTCTGATTCTGGACAAGGTACTTTTGCTATGGCTTGCCTGGTTTCCTACTTTATAAAATGGGAATAACAAAAATACCTATATTTAAAAAGTTTAAAAAGATAACATATAAAAAGTATGAACACAATGTCTAGCACATAATAAGCATTAAATAAATGGCAGTTATTACTACTTTTATTATTTCTTACACACTTAAATATCTCAGTATTAACATAAGCTGATATGTAAAACATAAAGGTAACAACAGGCCCAGATCTTGTGATTTTCCCTAATTTTCAAAGCAAGTTGGTACAAACAAAGAACCAGGGACCATATTTGGGTCCTTAAAAGATGAAAACTATCATAACCAAGGGCCTAAGCAACTCTTTCTCACAGAGCAAATCACCAGCCCCTACTGGACAGACTTTCCTGTGGTAGCAATCCCTTTTACTTTACTTACTAAGTACTTATTTTGTTTTAAGCACAATTTATGAAATAACATTTACTTCAAAAACATTTACATAAACTTAATACCTTTGCCTCACTGCTTACAACCGGTTTTACAGGGAACTGGACTTCTGTGGCTTTCAATATTGTGTTTTCTTGAAGAATGTCTTGTTGAGATTGATTGTGACCAAATGGCTTAAAAAACAACAACAATAATAAAATGTTGAGAAATTTATCTCACAAAATATTTAAACAGAGATATTGTTGTCAATAAATTCCCAAAATACAAATGATTTGTGTTCTAAAAAATCCTGTCAGTTATTTGGAAGTTGGGATACAATCTCATAGAAACAGGTTATAACTGATAGCAGGCTGCAAAAGCCCATCTAATCAATCCTCAACATGGCTGAAACACTGCAAATACACCATAGAAAATAATGCTGCTGCAATATAAGTAATAAAGATAAAATACAAACAAAAAGAAATTTAAAACTTTGAATGTTTAAAAAATAAAGTTTGATTAGAGAAGAGATAAAGAAGTAGTGGAAATCTCTGTAAAAAGCCCAAAGAATAAAATAAATGAAATAGCTCTGGTTTTGGTCCTAACTTGCAGTGAATTCCCAGACAAGTCCCTTAACCTCTCTTTCCATACTGAGGAAGGGATTAGATATCATCTATGGGAACCTGTAGTTCCCACTTTAATATAAAGAGGGGTTTGCGAAGAATTGAGATTAAGTTTGATGGAATTTCCCTGAGGAAGCACAGAGGGAAACTAGGCCTAGGCCAAACTGTGTGTGCATGGGGTAGAGGATGTGAGGAAGTGGGGAGAATAGAAGATAATGGAAAGTGTTCTGACTCCAGTTTAACAGGAGGAAATGTTAACACTGTTGACAGAGAGTTACTTCTCAAGGAAAAAAAGGCAAAAAGCAGGCCAAGTAAACTGTTGTGACATTAAAATAATTCTGATGCATAGAAATTTTAGGAAGAAATAGAGAAGAAGCCTAGCTTTCCTTGGAAGAATTTAAATTGACTTCAAGTTAATGAGACTTTGCATTTAAGAGGGGAAAATTCAACTTATCTCTCTACAGCTGAATCTGGTCTACATTAACTTACCTTTCTACCGTAAAGACACTGAAAGAAGATGACTCCGACTGACCACACATCAACCTTGTTGGAAATCTTTGGTGGTTCTTTTCCAACTACAAAACATTCAGGAGGTAAATACCTATAGTTTTTTTTTTTTTTTTTTTTTTGGAGAAAAAAGGCAAAGATACTATTAGCAATCTATAATTTAAAATTTTCTAAATGTAAAATCTTGGAATGCTCATTTTATCCATATACAAAGTTTAGAAATTTTATCAATGAAAATCACCAAACTTTTAAAGCATTTACATCCATGTATCATTTCACTCTAGAGCCAAAGCGTAAAACGTTGTGATACAGTATGCAATATATTTATATATAAAATATATATTATCTACAGAAATGAAAAATTATCATTAGAAATTATGATGTTCTAATTTGAATAAGTCTCTAATAATAGTAGAAGAAATCTTCTCCCATCTGCCTTTACCAGCATTCAAACTGTAGGCAGTTCTCTTCCTAAAACACATATCTGATCAGGTGGTTTTTTTTGTTTAAGGAATCTCAGCATGACTCACCGCCCAGGTGAGACCTCACATCTCGTTTGTAACACAAGACCCATCCTAATCTAGCAGCAACTTAAATTTCCAAAATCTGCACTCACCCCCTCTAACTGGCTAGGCAAAAACAATTCACTTGGTTCCCCACACAACTTTTTTTCCCCATGCTTTTGAATATGACAATCCCTAACCACTCCACTTCACGTGGTGAGCACCTTTTCTTCTTCAAGAACCCCCCCACCGACCTCCATAAGCCCTCTCTGCTACCCTCCAGGCAGAGCTTTCCTTCTTCCTCACATATGATGGCATCACTCTCAACTCACACTAGACTGTGAGCAGCTCAAGGAGCTCCTTTCATTATGCAGTTTCGAATACTAGCAGCGTCTGAAATACACTGAGTATTCAAAAATACTATTTTTCATTTGTAAGTACTATTTATAAGTTCATAATTTTAGATAAAGGAAAGGTAAAAATAAATGTCACCTTAGGTTATAAGTAAAAAGATCTATAGGGATACAAATATCTCAAACATCAAAAATTTAGATAAGTTAAAAACCCTGAAAAGGACTAATATAGATAAATGCAAATCTACTCTCTTTTTTTAGTTTTATACTCACTATGCTAAAATCATTTAAATTTCAGCAGGATGTTGACAGATCTCTTAAAAAACAGATTAAATTTCTTGAAGTAGAACCACCAAAGATGACCAATAACTTACTTGTGATGTAAATCCTTTCCTACCCCTCAAATCAAGTAAAAAGCCAGATTTGTTTTACGAATAAAAGTGGATATTTTGCGTAGGTCTACGTGTGTGTGACTGAAACAAGAATGGCTCTTAAACACTGCTATGCCATCTCTGGAGGCAAAAAGGAGTAAGAAGGGGAGGAATTGTAGGGATAGAGACAAAGCTTTCCAGGAAAAATGAGCACCAGGATTTAATGGATGAGTGCATTTAAGACCTTAGGGGAGGGAGGGACAAAACTGATTTTCTTCTAACTGATAAAGACAAAAGTTTAAGTTTCTGGGGATGAATGGTAATTTGTAAAAGCACTATATACATGTATTCTAAAAGTCTGAACAGGACATCTCAGTTTACCAAATACATAACTAAAAAACTAATATGACTGTAGAAAACTAACCATGTTTTGGAATGCTGTTTCTACGGGAAATACAGCCCAGGTTCCTACATGGAAATGCCACAACTATATCCTCCTTCCTATACAGCCCTCTAAATATAAGGTTTCCTGTCTCATGCCCAGCTGTCAGAGGGAAACTTCCTTGCCCTGCCCTACACTAGCGAAGCCAGAGTGAGAGGGAAACGACACAGGGGGAGTTTTCCATACTGTTCCAGAGGACCACGGGTTCTACCAAGAAGCTTTGTTTTTGTTGGTTTTATTTTTTAGGATTCTAAGATTTTCTTGTGAAAAAAGGAGCCTTGTTGCTAAAAGGAAAAAGTCTCAAGACTACTGATTGAGGATACTTTCGGGGTTTACTAGTTTGAATGATAATTTTCTTTAAATGTGAAAAAAAAAAAATCCATGACATATTATCTTATTCGCATTCCTAGAAAGTGCCATAAGCAGAATTTGAAACTTTAAAATGGTTTTAAAAGAATACATGAACGTGACTAATCCCTATTCATGAAAGGTAAAGTCCACACAGATCTGCGACATCTTATGGAACCGGTTATTATGTGCTCAGGCTAACTGTGTGCAGACTGTTCCAGAAACCCTCATGTCACATTTATGTTTCTAGCCATTATATTGTTCACTGAAGCTGAGTACAGTTATCTCTCTTACAATTAAAATTTTACCCCTTTTGCTAAACTAATTTATTCTGAAAACTGCGTTTGTTTTGTAATTTTATAGTCTATGCTACTTCACTTTGGTAAATTTAACAGTAAATTTGAAAATTCACACTGAAATAATTTTTATCAGCACCTAGGTACTCTGGAGGGAATGACATTCATTTAGACTTATATCTGTGAATCTATGGTTCTATCTAAATTTGTATTTACATGTCCGAAGTCATTAAAAGGAATTTTTGAGAGTCAAGTCTGAAGACCAAGAATATGCCAAATTTCTCTTCCATCCTTGATCAACAAAACATTCATCTCCAACAAAAACTGTAAGCAGAAACGTCTACAAAGAGGGCTTGATGATTATGGCTATTGCTTGTAATAGCTAAGATATTGTATTTATATAAGTATTTTTATTCATGATAAACGTCACTAACATTATAGAAGAAAATCCATTAATTCTCCATGTCAGGAGTTTCTGGCTGGTAGGTACTGAAGTCACTTGCTAAGGCCAAGTCATTCTCCCTCCAGTTTGCTGATGTTTACAGTTAAGAGGAGATGAGAAAAGAGGACTGACTTAGTCTCCCTCTTGACTCAGAGACTTCATATCACAACTCTTACCACAGTAATCTCAAAGGTAATAAAAATGAAAATTAAACTCTCATAAAAAGACTGGGCATTAATTTAGACATTTTGATATTTTTAATAATACATTTACCAGTAAGTGCCTGCCCCTTGGGAAGTTAGATCCATTCCATCTACACCATAGCTATCATCATCCATAATCTTGGACAGACCGAAATCAGTGATTTTGATTTCTCCACATGCTGTTCCATCTACCAGAAGGATGTTTCCTAAGAACAAAACATACAGTTCCTTTAATGATACAGAAATGAAAAACATTATCTTTACCACTTAAGCTGACTTTTGGGAATTATATATATTTAAAATACATATTTTAAAATCTTAAATATAATTAAAGTATACACTTAAAATGTAATTTTAAAATGCGGTCATATAATAAAAAGACTTTAAATTCTACTAGTTTTCCACTGACTTTCAAAAACTAAACTGAAAAGCATGTTTTCAGATAGTAAATATGACTTTTAAAAACTATATTCTTTAGTGCTTAAAAAATTATTTGGACATATTTTATTAATTACCTGGCTTAAGATCATAATGTATAATAGGTGGTTTGATTTCATTGAGATATCTTAGTGCATTTACAATTTGCATTACAATAGACCTAGCTTCTTTCTCTGACATTAATTTATGTTGCTTCAGATAGAAATCCAAGTCATTGCCTTCACAGTATTCTAACACTGTACAAAACCTGCAGTGGAGAAGAGAAAAACATTAGACAAAATATTATCCAATAATTCAGAATCACAATGAGAAATGACAAGTACTAATATCATTACAGAATAGGGAAAGCAAAAGCAACTGTATTTTTTCTTAAAAACTAAATCCCTATATTCACTTACGTATCTGTATCCAAGGAGAAATAATCATAGAGTTTAACTATTCTGGGGTGATCCAGTTCTTTGTGTATTCTGTACTCTCTGCAGGCATGTCTACGGGAAGAGACAGTATATTAATTTTCCACGACCATCACATATATTTTCAATTGATAAAAACTATAAAGTATTAATGTTTACTTGTGGTAGTTTTCCTTCTTCTCATCCCTCCAGCTTTTATTAAGCTGATGGATCTTCACAGCAGCATATCTTTGTTCATAAAGGTCAAAAGCCTATGAATCAAGGCATAGAAAAGTTAGGACCAAAGACCAAGTGAACAGCTGAAGCGATTTTTAAAAAAAATTTTGGTGATAATTTTTGCAATATTATAGAATTAGAATATACAGTACAATTTTTGGTGAGCATCTATCTCTGCTAAGATTATATATAGTTCAATGACACATTTATTATCAGAAACAAAATACAAATTCCATGGTGCTAAATCAAAGAGAACCTTAATGTGAATTTTCACATTCAAATTTTATAAATGTCAATATACTGAATCAAGATAAAACAATAAAACTATTACTTGGTTTTAATATGGACCTGGTCCTCTGTACTTGGCAGTAGCAGTAAGCAGCCAGGAAAACAGATGGCTGTAATGCTTTTTTGTGGATTGGATAAAGCAACTTTTTTCTCTACCTTTACCTAGCAACTCTCCACTTTTTTCACTTCTTTGAAAATTAGCAAGTTCCTAACCATTTCCCAACTGTAAAAAAAAAAATATCAACTTTGATTATGAAACTGTTCAAACAAAAGTAAGCATTAACCATATATCATTCGCACCTAATTACATCACACCTTAATCTCATCTAATACCTAACTTATCTTCAATTTTCCCTAATTGTCTCAACAAAAGGTTTTATACTGATTTGTTCAAATCACCAGCCTATTTTCTAAATAAAAAAATAAAGACTGATCAGTATTATTTTAAGGCTTCAGATGACATAATTTTTTTAAGAAAAAAACACTGCATATCATTAAAGAGAGATTTAAAAATTTAGGTTCCACTGTAATTTACATAGAAAGGTGCCCCTTTAACAAAACACTTAAAATTAAAAGCTTACATATTTATTAGAAAGAAAGTCCCCAGGCCCCACTCTCCCATCAATTTAACCTAAAAATAAGTAGTAGGGGGAAACTGTTTGTCACAAAATTATAAATGCGTGAGATCAGAAATAACATAGGATGCAGTAATTAAGGATATTCACTTTAGAATTAAATGAACTTAGCTGCATGACTTTGTGCTAATACTCTCTCTCAGTCTCATTCATAAAGTTTGGGTTGTTCAAAGAATTAAATGAGGTGAAACATATAAAGTGTTTAGAATAATACATGATACATACTAACTATCCAATAAACATTAGCTAATTAAATTATTATTAAAAGTTAAATTTAAAGAAATAGAAAAGAACAAAAATAAAAGAAGTTCAGGATAAAATTCAAAGGCAGTTGTAATAAAGGATAGTAGAAGAAAATAAAATTGTAAGTATACTGCTAATAAAAAGTTATTATCAGTGCATATTGATTATAATAATTAGATAAGACACATCTTTCTCCCAAGATTAGGTGAGTAAAGTATACCTTCCCATAAGGCTAATACGGTAATCACTGAGCAACTGATTCACTATTTTCCACCTTGGTACAGATAAAAGTCTATATTTTTACAACATGTTGCTTTGTGTGTTTCCCAGTGGACTTGACAAACTTGAAAGGACTTTGAAGGGGCTGGAGGGAACTGCTGTTAGTATTTAGGTCAGTATTGATGGCTCAAGTCATTAGACCCCAATCTGCATTTTCTAATTTCTACATAAGCCCTTGCTTCAAAAAGAAAAGCCCCTTTTAGCTCTATTTATGGGGCTAAAAACAGTGGAAATACTATTGGGTCATGGCAGAAGGTTGTCATGAAAGCCATTAGTAGGCTCAGAAGCTGGGCACCTTTTAGGCTGAGCTAGTGTAAGCTAACTGTACTTCTGGTGATTTTTAGATCCAGAGTGAGCTATTATGATTGTCTTTTCTACCTTGTGGCCTGGGTAAGCCTACTTCAAGCATTAAATGCTTGAGGACGAACTACCATTAGAATCAGAGAAATAGGAACTGGAAGAGAGCTCACAGATCACTCCTGATGGGTGAGGAAGGAGAGGCCCATGATGCTTAATGCTTGTCCAAGTTAAAACAAAAACAAAAAATAGTTCATGGTTGAACCAAGATCAGAAATAAAGTCCTCTGAATCCAAATCCCATAACTTTTTCCAGAGTCAGAACTAGAATCCAGGCTGTCTTCAGAAAACCAAGAAGGTACAGGTGCTTGTCTAAGCGAACAGTGAGGACTTCAAATAATCATCTGATGAACTTACATTTACTTAAGCACCACTGTTCTATGTGATTTACCGGTGATAGCTCACTTAATCATTACAACAGTCCCATGAGGTAGGTATGTTTTTATTCCCAGATGAAGACAGTGAGGATGTTGAGTAATAATCCCAAGTTTATACAGTTAGTAAGTAGCAGTCAGAATTAGTCAAGATTCAAACCCAGCCTATCTGGCTTCAGAACCCACACTCTTAACCACTAACTACACCAACACATAATGAAGCACAAAATGTCACAGGGAGCCTATAAAAGGGCGGACCAATAGGGAAGCCTTCTACAGGAATTAAGGTTAAGGTGAGAGTAAGACCTTCAATATGACTTCATCCTAACTAAGAGCAAATGGGAAGCCACTAGAGCTTATAAACAAGGGAGTGAGATGATCAGACTGCATTTTATAAAAAGGCCACTCTAGCGGCAGCATACACAAATGAACTGGAGAAACTCAATGCCCAAAGGAAAGTGATCAGCTAGGAGGCTCAGGAAGCAACACAAACAAGAGACAATGAGGCCTTGAACATAAGAGAGAGAGAGAGAGAGAGAGTCATTGCGGGATTTAGGAGAGCTTAATGACATTAATTAATCACAGCAGGCATCAGCAACTGGTTATATGTTGGGGGAAGTGACTTAAAGGAAATGTGGAGTGAAGGATGGCTTTTATGTTTTCCACTTGTGGGACTGGGCAGGTGAATAGAAATGCTTTGTTTTGAAGTAGGGAGCAGTGTTAGAAGAAGGGATTTCGGAGAAGAGGAAGATAACTTCCATTTCAGACGCTGACTTTGCAGTGCTGAAGAAGGTCTATTCACATAAGGTGAATACGGTCATTCACCTCAGGAGCTCAGAAGGGAAGTGTGGGCTAGAGATACATATCTGGGGGTGAAATCCTATAGACGGTAACTCAGAGAATGGGAGGGGATATACTGGAAAAGGAGAATACAGAATAGAGAATAAGAGACCTTAGGAACTACAATATTTAAAGGCTGGGCAGAAAGATACAAGGTAAAGCAAAAAAAAGTAAGGTATAAAACATTGAACATGATGAGTAAAAATTTTGACATTTATAGGACGCATTTGAGAAACACTGGCCTTAAAATAAGTAGAAATTTGGGTAAATTCAGGACACGTAAGACTTCTGACACATGTTTAAATTAAAGGATACAATCTTTCCATAAATGTACTGTTTTAAATGGCCATCTCCCTATTTTAATCCTAATGGCTGTTGGTAACTAGGTGCCAAATATCAGAGGGACTGTGCAGGTGCAAGTATAGTCTTTACACTCTTGAGATAAGACAACATAAGTCACCAGACTCTTTTTTTGTAGTAAGAGTCAAACATAAAATTAGTCAAAAAAATTCTAAAAGCAACAAATAAGAGACAAGTATTTCTTAACCACATACTCCTGTATCTTTGCTATATTAGTGTGAAGAACAGAAAAAAATTTACATTACCTTATATACTTCACTAAAGCCACCTCTACCAAGCAGATGAAGTAATAAATATCTTTCATTTAACGTTGGGTGATCCTTGAACCTTCAGGGTGGGGGAAAAAACACTCAGGCATATGAAAACACACACAAAAACGTTCCTTCCACAATAAAGTCCCACTCTCTTATTCTACTCCTAGCTATTTCTTTCTCAGTTACTCTACTCCTAACTTTGAATTCTGCTGCATACTTCTTTTCTTTCTCTACCTGAATGACTATCACTCATCTTAATGCTTTGGTGTTCACAAAGCTTAACATTTATAGCTGAATATTCAGGTTCAGTGACCAGTTACAGCCTCTGATAAAGACCTACCAACAACTGTGTTGCCAAGAGCTTTATGAAATCCTGTGTCTACTCAGCAGGAATTACTTCCCTTGGAAAAATACACTTTTATATTGGAGTTTATGGTCAATCAAGACTTTATAGTATTGACATATGATTAAAAATAATTATATTTATAAATTGGCCTTCATCCATGAATAAATTTTACTATCTTTGGATGTCTATAAATAAAATTTTAATGTTCAATTAAAAAAGGAAAGCTTTTTAAAAAACTTAATAAAGAATCACTCACAGATGATACTACTACTATTTAACGTTTATTGTGCCTGCTATATATTGAGCACTCACATATATTAACTCATTTAGTTCTCAACCAACTCTATGAAGTAGACCCTGACACTACCTCTGTTTTACAGATGAGGGCGCTACTGCACAGAAGGGTTAAGTAACCTGCCCAAAGTAAACAGCAAATATACGTGAGGACTTAGAAGAAAAATGTGGCACTCTTGGAATTGAAAAAAAAAAAGTCAATCATAGCTTTGTAATTCCAGATGCACTATTTTATTATTTTATTTAAAATCAATTTACTATTGCTTCGATAATTTTTTCTTGAAGAACTTGTAAATAATAGAGAATTCTGCTTAGTTTTAAAGATAAATGTAAAACTGTAACAATTCACTTAATTTTCATCAAGTAGACTAAGACATATCCACAAAACAAACTTGAACACAATTTTCAGAACAGCCAATTGTAAATTAGCTTTGCCCTATCCGCTTTGTTAGAATTTTCATCTGGTACAATTTAGGTTATTCCATAACTATATTATTTCATTCACCTTATACATTGGAATGATCTGTTTGTTTATGAATTACTCATACTCAAATGATCATGAAGATGCCTTCCTTTAAGCAAGATTATTTACATTCACAGCAGAAATTGGTCAGCACGAATTCTGACACTCAGATCATGAAGCTTTAAATTACAAGTCTTAAAGTGTAAAAAGAAACCTTCCTCTCCTCCACATTGATTAAATCCAAGTAGTGCCTTGCTTAATTTCTATCTTAATTTCTCATAAAGCTCCCACCAGTCCACAGGTATTTTCTCTTCTCTGAATTCCTTTAGCATTTAATATCTATGGCACTCCTTTTGATAACCAGGGATTAAGGACATAGACTATAACTTCTTTTCTATTTCTTCTCCAATTTTTGCATAATGCTGGATACATGGCTCACTGAAATCCCTTTAGTTGAAATAATTTCTCCTTCACTACTGCAATATTAAGTGTGGCACTCAGTCAATGTACATTTATTGCATACCTACCACATGCTAGGCACTAGCCTACGCTCTGGCAATACAGCAAGAACAAAACTAAGTCCTTGCTCTCATGGAGCTTACATTCAAGTGGGAAGAGACAGATAATAAATAACTGAAAAATAAATTTATAATTCCAAATAGTGATAAATGCTATGATTGTAAGCATACTGAGAGAGGGAATGAAGTGAGGCAAGGACTCATATTTTAGATAGGGTGGCCTAGGGACATCCTCTCAAATGACCATTTGGAATGAAACGAGGAGTAAGCCACTCAGACATGTGGAGGAGGAACATTTTAGGCAAAGGAAACGGCAAGCACAAAAGCCTTGAGATGAGAACATGCTACACATGTTTGAGGGGGCCAGTAAGTCTACGACATATAAGTGAGGGGAAGATGAGAGATGGGTGAGATGGCCAGAGACCAGATCATACGAGGCCTTTTGAGCCATGGGACAGACTCTGGATCTTTTTCTAAGTGTGATGAGTATGCCCCCAAGAAGGAAATATCATGTTTATGCTCTCCACAGGGGAGAAAAAACTTTTATCATGTAAAACTGTGAAATACAAATAATGACTTACTGCGAATTATCTTCATTATTAATTCTTTTGAGCTCTCGAATGTGAAGATTTCTAACTCTTTCCAAACGTTCAAGTTCTGCCTGGATTTCTGCCTCTTCCTGAAAATGAAGAGAGGGGACTATAACAAGCTCAATTTATTTGCGATATAAAAAAGATATTTTTATCCATGCATCAATTTTTTTACAGTGACAGCAAGAACAGTGTATTATAAAGTACCACTGAGTTAAAAGACCAAATTGCTCTTTTCAATGCCTGAAAGATGGAAAGAGACAAGGCAAAGCCTATTTCAAGAAACTATCCTACACATAAAAATCTGTATCTAATGAGATGCTGAGTTTTATTTTGTACTACAAGAAATCTATTTTTATAATGTCTAAACCGAAAATGACTGCAAGGTAGTCTAAAACTGAGTTATAACACAAAATGAGCTGAAAGTTTTATTTCTGGTACATCTAAATTTTAATTTAAGAGGGAATAATTTACTAGTACAAAACAAATGAAATGAAGATATTTTACAATAGTAAAAGAGGAAGAAAGGAAGAAGACAAAACCACTGATTATTCCTAGACCCTACAATATCTAGAATACACAAACGCACACACAACCTGACCACTCACTTTAAATAAATACCCCTAGAACCTTAAAAAGACTCTAAAACAAAATTTTTATGGGTAGCTGTCCAGATCCTTAGTTATTAGAGCAGATCTAGGCAAATCCTAAGGAAATTTACTTTAAAATTTAACATAAAAATGTTGATAAATATTTTTCATGTTTCAAAATGTACAATTTTTAGAACATTTTTAAAAACTAGACAACCAAACAACCAAACATAATCACCCATTACACATGTACATCTCTTTGATTTGTCACTATAAATTTGAGTTATCTACTTAAAAGACGAAGAAGAATATACCAAATTTCAATGGAGAGTTCTAGAAATGCCCAATTTTATAATATTTTTGGATAGATATTTGTTGAGTAAATGAACAAATACAGATTGCCTTGGCCTCAATGTGAACCGACTACCATTATAAATCTATATCACATAGAATAGAGGTTATTTCTGAATATTGCACTTAAATATTTCTGGATTTCATTAGCTCCTTCTCTTTTCACGATTTATCTTCTGATATTCTAAAAAATCCTTTATCTCAAAAAATTAATAATTCCAAAATTCACTTTGAAAATATAAATATTATTTCATTCCAAAGCAGTTAACAGAGGTATGGTCTATTACACCTTTATCTAAGGCTTAAACTGAAAGGAATATTCTAAGCATTATACAGAAAAATGAACGTTCACAGATTAAAAAACTAAATCTAAGTATGTTGTTTGTATTCCACCTGATCCTTAAGATTATTTTAATTATTTTAAAATGAAACTCAACCACTACTTGATGCAAAGAGATTTAATGTAGATGATAAATAGAAACTTTCAAAGTAAAGTTAAATGAAGATAAAGCTTTCTAGAATTTCGGGGAGATGTTTCTAAAATAGATACACTAAATAGATTGTCTTACTTTATCTGAAATTCCTCACTTCATATAGCTTCAGTCACAAATATTTCTAATTGTAATGAAAAAAAAAACAAGGGAGGTAGTAGCCTAGGGGATTAAATAAAGATTCATTATAAGGAAAGGAAATATATTAAAAAGCTTTTGAACAATAAACCCAAACCACATTTAGTTGTCCTAAGTTAGAGATAGAAAGCAGAATAAGAAACTGGCCATATAGGTATACCTATGAGTATGAAGAAATTCAAATTCATTTATACCACAGAACACAGAAAGCGGTAACTTTTTCTCTTCACGTTACTAACGTTTGCTGCCTTAAAATTTGCCATTAATTTGGTTCTCACACATGTAGGAAGCTACTAAACACTTGGTAGGCTGGTGGATTTTAAATAATCCGATAAAACTGTGAAATACATATTGGAATATCAGGTGAAATACTTGCTTTAATGTTCATTTGAAATTGTGGTATGGGGATACTATTTCAAAAGTTAATTTATAAAACTTAAATTTTACTAGAGTCATAAATATGAGATTCAACTAGATTGTTGATACATACAATTACATTTGTTTTATAATTTTTGGTAATCTTCAGATGTCTATACAATGGCAGTAACCAATATCACAAAATACTTATAAAAGATAGTAAAATGTATGTGTCAGTTAAGCAAGCTTTTTTCCCCCCTCTATAAAACATGACAAATATGTCCCATAAAATCTCATGATACAAAAAAGCACAGGCAAGATTCATTCAGTTTGAATTGTAAAGTTTACCGGAAAACCCAAAATGTCAGAAGTACTAGGGGAAAGAAAGCTGGATCCTAGGTATTTAAGAGGAAATGTCAAGGGAAGGAACTACATCCATGTCTTATACACAGTAGACGCAAATCCTCTACAGTCAGTGAAATATATTTACATTTTCCATATTATAATTTAACATTTCTTCCACAATATCTTAGACCTTAAAACAAAGAGACACACTTCTGGGGGAAAGATAATTCTGGAAGTCTAAGTAATTTTTCTCAAATTCCACTGAGAAAAAGTATACATGGTACTATGGACTGAAGGTTTGTATTTCTCCAAAATTCGTATGTGTAAACCCTAAACCCCAAAGGGATGGTATTTGGAAATGGGGCCTTTGAGAGGTAATTAGAGTTAGATGAGCTCCAGAGGGTGGGACCCTCATGATGGGATTAGTGGCTTTATAAGGAGGAAGAGAGAACTCTCTCTACCACCCTGTCCCTTCTTTGTGAGAGCTCAGAGAAACGGCCAGGTGAGGACTTGAGAAGGCAGCCGTCTACAAGCCAGTAGAAGAGCCTCACCAGAAATGAACCCTGCCAGGCCTTGATCTTGGACTTCCAGACTTCAGAACTGTGAGAAAACAAATTTCTGTTGTTTTAGCCACCCAGTCTATGGTACTTTGTGATGGCAGCCCGAGCAGTTTAATGCACATACTTGAGGCAAACACCAGGGCAATACTGCCTAGTACCCTCTCCTTACAGAAAGGAGCAAGGCCCAGTTCTGATCTGGCTCCAGGGTACGATAGTCTAGAATACAGTAGTCTCAGCAACTAATTTATCTTTACTGCAGATCATTTCCAGAGATCTACCCTGTAGGCTCACTCTCCTTGCTTAAGACTGACATTAACCTCTGGGCCATCCTCAGAATCACTTGTTTTCAGAGGGCTCAGGAGAAGCAAGGATGACTTGGGCTTAGAACTGACCTGAATTCATTATAGAATGGAATCCTCAAATGCATGGCAAAGCTAGACCAGATTACTAAAATAAAAGAGAGACAATGGAACCAGCTAGATCGTGCTTAGTAAGAATACCAAGTTTCAATCCTCAAGTCATCCACTAGCTGAGCAGTTAAAGCAGAGAAGGTCTAGAAGAAACGAGGAAACAAACAGCATCTCTGGAAAAGAACCAGTCTCTGTAGGCTATTACAGTGTCGAAAGGACATGAGTGAGAATAGGTTGTATGAAAAAGAGAGGTAGGCTTAGTGATCAGACAATAAAAGGACATGGCTCTTTTCTGTTTAAACAAAAAGATACAGCAATGGGCAAATGAACAGTACACACTACAGCGATTTAAAGACTATTTTAAAAGAAACTCTAATATTTTACTTACATAAAAAAAAGTCATGCATGTATACCACAAAAGACCTCAATATTGTCTCATTGTTTAAGTAAGCTTCAAAACACCAGCTTCCACAATTTTTAACTTCTAAAAATTTCTATGAAAGGTAAATTCCACAGCAACTTAATGCTTTCTATTTGTAATCAGTCTCTTCTGGCAACTTAATATCCCCTTGGCTCAACATTTTAAGCCAAAAGTCAGTCACAGTAATGTAGAATCTCCATAAAAACACCAGGTTAAAAACGGTAGGCAGATGCGGGATATTTTTGAGCATTTCCTATAATGACAATTTTTAAAAGGGCAATTGTTCAAAGAAAGGTGGGGTGTGTAGGAACCAAACCTGTAAAGCTTGAAGTTATAAAAAGCATTTTCTCATGTAAAACTGATAGATTTCCTGAAAAAATTAAACATACTAGCTTAAACTTCTTTAGCAAATCTTGAATGTATGTTACATGTCATCCCCACAAAACAACTCAATTTCGAAGAGCTGCCTTTCTAATAAAGCCAAGATAAGATAGAAAGTATTTTGATACATCATTCTCAGCTCGATCGATAATCAATGGGGTTGGTAAAAGAAAAGAAATTCTGTGTGGTATATTATGAAGATGGTGGAAGCAGAGAAAAGCCTATCACTTTGAACAGTCTATTCAGCAGCACCATAACAACATTTCTTGGTCTAGGAAAACTAGCTCAGAATAAGGTTTCAAAAAGTTTAACACCAAATTCATTTTAGTAATATGAACAATATTAATCCCTCAAAAGTTAGTATCTCCAGGTCCTCAATTTAAATTGTAATTTCATAAACTATTTCTAATGCCATTTAAAAAGTTTATCACCAGGAAAGTGAAAGGCAAAATTAACAAAAGGCCCTATTAAAAGCTAATGGAGGGGCTGGCCCTGTGGCCGAGTGGTTAAGTTCGCGCTCTCCGCTGCAGGCGGCCCAGTGTTTCGTCGGTTCGAATCCTGGGCGCGGACATGGCACTGCTCGTCAGACCACGCTGAGGCAGCGTCCCACATGCCACAACTAGAGGAACCCACAACGAAGAATACACAACTATGTACCGGGGGGCTTTGGGGAGAAAAAGGAAAAAATAAAAAAAAATCTAAAAAAAAAAAAAAAAAAAAAAAAGCTAATGGAAAAAAAGGGCAGTACAGAGAAAAAGAATTAAGGAAAAAATTATTATCAATTTACTTCAAATTTATCCTTATTCTACATCCCCAGATTATTTCTATTATATGCCTTTACATATCTTAAATACAGATAAGAGAGAAATGAACCATTGGAAATATGAACCAATCAACAAACAAACAAAAAGACCACCTAGACAAAGCAGGTCTGAATTTAGAGATGAGTTTTGAAACTACTGCCCATAATCCCATTTTTGCTAGAGTATGATTGCACAGATTGAGGAGTGGAGTAAGAGGAGGGGAAGAGACTAAAATTATGAAA